TCTCTTCTCTTCTCTCTCTCTCTCTCCTCCTCCTCTCTCTCTCTCTCTCTCTCTCTCTCCCTCCCTCCTCTCTCTCTCTCCTCCCCCTCCTCTCTCTCTCTCTCTCTCCCTCCTCTCTCTCCCTCTCTCTCTCTCTCTTACCTCCATGTTCGTTGGTCCACAGTAGGAACACGTTCATGGCTCCCACCTCTGTGATTAGCTCCTCCTCGCCGTAAAGCCACAACACCTGCTGGCAGTTCTCCTTCGCCGCCTTGATCCCGACGTAGAGCGTCGGCGCGTAGTTCCTGCGTGAAACAAGAGAACGCTCGTCGACGACAGGTGGCGCCACTCACGCGTGCCAAACAGCAGGCGTTGAAGAATGCAATCGATTGCGATCGATTCGCGGTTTTTGATCGAGATTAAATATAAAATAACGATATTATACATAATTTTAATATAATATTAATATTAGCCACGCTCGCACACACGCACGCACGCACGCACGCACGCACGCACGCACGCACGCACGCACGCACGCCTGCACGCACGCACGCACGCACGCACGCACGCACGCACGCATGCACGCACGCACACACACACACACAGACACGCACACACACACACACACACGCACACACACACAGCAGACAGGGACCAGCGTTGTGACTCACGCGCCCATCTTGGTGTGTCCCGTGCCGCCGGGCCACGCGCGCACGAACGATGGGTCGGCTAGCAACGAGACCGGCTCGAAGCCGGTGCGGTAGTACGGCCCGACGGGACCCAGCATGACGAACAGAAGAACGTTCGCCGACGCCATCACGCCCAGCGACGGCTGCAAGCAGTACAGGTGCAGCGTGAGAGAGGGAGGAGAGAGAGAGGAGGGGGAGGGGAGAGAGGGAGAAGGAGGGGGGAGACGGAGAGAGGGAGGGGGGAGGGGAGGAGAGGGAGAGAGAGAGAGAGAGAGGGAGACAGAGAGAGAGAGAGAGGAGGAGGAGNCTTCCCAGCTCCCCCTCCCTCTCTCCCTACCCGTATCTCCCTCCCCCTCTACATCCCTCTCTCCCTTCCTCCATCCTTCCGCTCTGAATCCCTGCTCTCTCTCTCTCCCCCTCGTCCCTCCCTCTCTCCTCCTCCGCCTTCTCTCCCTCTCTCCGCCTCCCCTCTCTCATACGTCTGCTCATCTCTCTTTCTCCCTCTCGTCCTTCTCTCCCCTCCATCTCCCTCTCTTTCCTCGCCTTCCCCCTCCCCCCTCACTCCCGATCCCCCTCTCTCTCTGCCTTCATGCCTCTCCCCTCCCCTCCCCCCTCTTTCCTCTTCCTCCTCTCTCGCCTCCCCCTCATCTCCTCTCTCCTCCCTCTTACGATCACGGCGCCCACCTAGTTAGCGCTTGCAGCCGTCGCTGCAGGCCCCGTGATGGAACGAGCACCGCCGAATGCACCGTCGGCCCGAAACGTTCTTTCTGCTTTGCATCATTGCTAGTGGTCCCGTCAGCCGACCGTACCATAACCGCACCAGGCTTCGAGCCGCCGTCTCGTTGCTAAGCCCGAACCCATCGTACCGTCATGCCGCGCCGCACTCGGCCGGCCGGCAACGGGAACCACCAAGCACATGCAGCCGCGGTGTGGCGCAGTCACAACGCTGCCAGAGTCCCTAGTCTCGCTGCAGAATTGCTGTCGTGAGCCGCTGCTGGTGTGGTATGTGATGCCTGTTATGTGCCTGTGTATGCTGTCGTGTGTGTGTGTGCTGGCTGCTTCGTGCGTGCGGTGCGTGCCTGCGAGCTTGTGTATGCGTGCCGTACGGTAGTGCGTTGCAGTGCCGTCCGCGTGCGTCCGCTACAAGTGCGTGATGTCGTCGTGTGTGTGTCTGTTGTGCTCGGCGCTGCGTTGCTGACGTGGCGCACTGTGTACTGATGTGCCTGCTGCGCGACACAATGCTGATGTGCTGTGTGTCGTGTGTGTGCGCGTCCGCTGGCGTGGTCGCAGGCTGTTACGCCGTCGTGCGATCATGTGCTTCCATCCGTGCCGTGCGCCCTAGATATTTAATATTAATAACTTAAAAATTTTGATAAAATTATGCGTTAACTTTAATATTTAATCTCGATTCAAAAACTGGCGCGAATTCGCAATTCGACCTGTTCTTCGCACGGCCCGCTGTTTGACGCACGCCCAAGTGAGTGCGCGCCAACCTTTCGTCCGCACGAGCGTTCTCATTGTTTCACGCAGGGAACTAACGCCGCCGAGCCTCTACGGCCCGGGATCAAGCCGCGCGACAGCGAGAACTGCCAGCACAGGTGTTGCTGCGCCACTTTACGGACGAGGCAGCGACGTTAAATCATCGGCCGCAGGGTGCGGAAGCCACATGAACGTGTTCCATACTGCTGGCACCAACGAACATGGCACAGGCTACGACGAGAGCCACGAGACGCAGACGACAGGGACCGGGGGAGCCACGGAGACGAGAGAGCCAAGGACGAGAGAGATCGACAGAGCAACAACAACCACGCACGCAGAAGAGCATCAAACACGAAGGGGAGCGGGAGATAGAAGCCACGCAGCGACGGCCGCAGGAGCTACATCACAGAGGTAGGGAGCCATGAACGTGTTCTCTACTGTGGACCCACACGCAAACATGGAGCTAACGAGAGCACCTGAGAGACGGAGCAGGCCAGGAGAGAGAGAGACGAGACGCAGCAGACGGAGCCAGAAGAGGAGAGAACGACCAGTCAGAGCACAGAAAAGGGCCGAGGGCGACGATAGCCGCAGAGCAGGCGCCGGACGCAGCACAGTAAATCACAGAGCGATCGCGCGAAGCCACCATGAACGCTGTTCCTACTCGGGCACCAACCACGAACATCGGCCATGGTAAAGAAGAGAGAGAGAGAGACGAATGCACGGGGCCGATGCAGCAGAGGGAAGCCAGCACGAGAAGAGCAGAGCAAGAGCCGGCCGGCAGAGCCCAGAGCATAGAGACAGAGACGACGACGCCCAGCCGGCGTCAGACCGGCGCAGGCAAGGCATAAGAGAGTGCGCGCAAGAGGGAGCTAATCACGGAGTCGACGAGCCGCATGAATCGTAGTCCTACTGCCAATGAGACAACACACGAACATGGCAGTAAGAGAGCACGCAAGACCGCAGGGGCACCGCAGGGCGAGAGACGAGCGGAAGCCGCCACGAGCAGAGAGAGGGCGGCCGAGAGGCGAGACGCATAGAGAGAGGGGAAGCGAGCCCTAATGCACGCGACCCCCGTGGCCGACCACAGCCCATGAACGTGTCCTACTGTAGCGACTAACCGAACATGGCAACGCCGTAAGAGATGAGAAGAGAGGAAGAGAGAGGGAGGCGGAAAGAGAGAAAAGGGGAGGGGAAGAGAGGGAGAAAAGGGGAGGATAGGAAGGGAAAGATAATATTGTTAAAATAACGATATAACACATAACGACACAGAATTGCCATTACTTACCCCTGCTACTCATGTCAGCTCTATGCTCTATCTCATGCTCATCTCATGCTCTATCTCATGCTCTATCAGCTGTGTTCCAGTAACGACGAAATTTCAGGATTTTCTAAAAGTGCCACTAGATGGCAGTAGCAGGCGACGGGAAGACATCTCACCTCTATGCCTATCATCGTTGGCCTTACATAGAGCGTGCTGGTGGGCGACCGCGGAACCCAGTCCTGATCGATATCGATTAGCTTACAGATCAGTTTCGTCAGCTCCTCTCCGTTGAAATTCTACGTGCGAAAAAAAAAGAAAAAATTATATGAAATAATAAATATATAATAAATATAAATATAAATATATATTTTATTTATAATTGCGCGAGAGAATAAAACAAGAGAACGAAACGAGAAGGTACGGTGCGATGTCCGTCGTCACTCGTCCGTTTGTACGTTTGAACTTCGTTGTCAGAAGAAAATTGCGAATGGTTGACCGCCAAATGTCCCTTCCCTGTCTGTCTCTTTTTGTCTCTCTGTCTCCCCTCCACTCTCTCTCTCTCGTCTCGGTCGTCTGTTGCTCCGGTGATGTCTCTCTCTGCCGTGTCTCTCGTGCTCGCTGTAACCATACTCGGTCGTCTCTCTCTCTCTGCATCTGGCGGCTCTGCTCGTGCGGCTCTCCTCTCGTGCTTCTCTCGATTTCTGCTGCCTCTGCCTGCTCCGTCGTCGTCGTCTCCGTCTCGCGTTCATCGTCGTCGTCTCATGCATGCTGCTCGGTCGTCTGGATCAGCTCTTCGTCTCTTCCTGTGCGCCCTTTCCTCATCGTCGTCTCTGCTCGTGCGTCGTCATCGTCCTGCGTCTCC